GGTGGTGCCTCAAAAAAACTAAGAATAGAAATAACCATATGATCCAGCAATTCCACTTCTGGGCATATAGCCAAAAGAATTGAAAGCAGGATCTCAAAGAAATATTCGTACAGCCATGTTCATAGCAGCATTATTCACAATAGCCAAGAGATGGAAGCATTACCAATGTTTAATGATAAATGAATGGATAAGAAAAATGTGGCATATTTGCAACATACAATATGTATGTTGTAAATATACAATGGAATATTATTCATCCTTAGAAAGAAAGGACATTCTGACACATGGTACAACATGAATGAACCTTGAGGACATCATGCTAAGTGAAATAAACCAGTCACAAAAAGACAAATACTGTGTGATTTCTCTCATGTGAGGCTCCCTAAAGTGTTCAAATTCCTAGAAACAGAAAGCCAGAATAGTGGTTGCCAGGAGCTGGAGGGAGAGGGAGATGGGGAGGTGTTGGTTAATGGGTACAGAGTTTCAGTTTTGCAAGATGAAAACGTTTCGGAGACTGGTTCCACAACAATGTGAATATACTTAGCACTACTGAACTCTACAATTAACAATGGTAAATTTTATGTGCTCTTTACAATAAAAAGATTTTAAATTACTTTGCTGCAGAGGGAGATGTCTTCACCTTCTAAGACTGTTTTATCTAAACATCCTTGAAAAGATAGTCCAGAAAAAAATAAAGGGCAATCTACATTCTACAGGACAACCAGCCCTATCAATTTAAAAAGTCAATGTCATTTTTAACAAAAGGGTATGTGGGGGTTAATGTAGAATGAAAGAAGCCATAATCAAGTACAATGCAAGAATCTTGATTGGATTCTGAATCAGAAAAAGAAGGGCTATAAAAAACATTTTGTGGGCACTTGGGGAAATCTGAAAATAGACTGGATATTAGTTTTTTTAGGGAATTGCTTTCTTATATTTTGGGTTTTGTAGGGAAGCACAAGCTTATTTTTAGAAGTTACACTCTGAAGTGTCATGGGTATCTGAAAGAAATCTTCAAATTGTTCAACAACACATGTACAGTAAATTGAACTACATTAAATTGTTTCTATTCAATTTTTATTATAATTTCTTTTTTGTTGTTTGTTTTTGTTTTTGAGACGGAGTCTCACTCTGTCGCCCAGGCCGGAGTGCAGTGGTGCGATCGCAGTTCACTGCACATTCCGCCTCCCGGGTTCACGCCATTCTCCTGCCTCAGCCTCCCGAGTAGCTGGGACTTCAGGCGCCCGCCAACATGCCTGGCTAATTTTTTGTATTTTTTTTTTTTTTAGTAGAGATGGGATTTGATGTTGGCCCTGCTGCTCTTGAACTCCTGACCTCAGGTGATCTGCCCGCCTTGGCCTCCCAACATGCTGGGATTATAGGCATCAACCACCGTGCCCAGCCTATATAATCATCTAATTTAATATTGACCAAATGATATTTCCTTTTGTACCGCAAGCTGATGAACAGGAATGGAGCAATTTTGTTTTCAAATGTTCTATAATGAGCATATATTACTTTATTATTAAGGAAAAATTATTTTTAAAGTGGTTCTATGGTATAAAACTCACAAAAAGTAAAATTTTAATTACTTGTAATTATATCATTGTGAGCTAAATAGTGAACTTTTAAGTTCATACATTTGAACTTTTATCAATCAATTTATAGTAATAAAAAGACACACGATGTGTTTTGGCAGCAGTTGAGGGAAAAACTGGCAACAGCAGTAGCAGCAGGATGGGGGGCACCACGTCCACCCACCCACACTGGCAGCAGAGGTGGCATCCTGAGAAGAGGCAGGCAGGGAGAGACTGCCGCAGTTGGAATGACCAGAGAACCATCAGCAGGGCAGGGCAGCTGTGGGCATGAACCATCTAGATCTCCAAGGAAGGGAAAAAACGGCGTGGGGGAGGTTGGAGATCCAGTAACACCAGGAGCAAATCCTCCTCCCGTGGCTAACCCTTTTCTTAACATCTCAGACTTACTTTTTTTTTCTTTCAGAGACAGGGTTTTGCTATGTTGCCAGGCTGGAGTATAGGAGCTATTCACAGGCATGATCACAGTGTACACTAGCCTTGAACTCCTGGGCTCAAGTGACTCTCCTGCCTCACCCTAATGAGTAGTTGGAGCTATAGGTATGTGCCACCATGCCTAGCTAGATTTTTTGTTTTTCCCACTGGAATAAAACCTTCAGGATTAGTTTCAGATAAATTTATGAGTGGTAAACTGAATCCTTTCTTGCTTGTTTAAAAATGTTTTAGGCCAGGCGTTCTTCGCCGAGAGTCTTCGGGGTTTCCGGCTTCAACAGTGCTCGGACGGCACCCAGCCCTCGTCCCCGCCTCCGTCACCTCTTCACCGCGCCCTTGGACCGCCCCAAGGCCCCCGCCGCCGCTCCTGTGTCGTGCAGCCACCGCCGCCGCCGCCGCCGCCTGGCCTTAGCCTCCGCCATGACGACCGGGTCCAGCTCGCAGGTGCGCCGGAACTAACACCAGGACTCAGAGGCCGCCATCAACCGCCAGATCAGCCTGGAGCTCTGCGCCTCCAACGTTTACCTGTCCATGTCTTGCTACTTCGACCGCGATGATGTGGCCTTGAAAAATTTTGCCAAATACTTTCTTCACCAATCTCATGAGGAGAGGGAACATGCCGAGAAACTGATGAAGCTGCAGAACAACTAGGTGGCCGAATCTTCCTTCAGGATATCAAGAAACCAGACTATGAGGACTGGGGTGGGAGAGCGGGCTGAATGCGATGGAGTGTGCATTACATTTGGAAAAAAATGTGAATCAGTCACTACTGGAACTGCACAAACTGGCCACTGATAAAAATGACCCTCATTTGTGTGACTTCATTGAGACACATTACCTGAATGAGCAGGTGAAAGCCATCAAAGAATTAGGTGACCACGTGACCAACTCGCGCAAGATAGGAGCACCCGAATCAGGCTTGGCAGAGTATCTCTTTGACAAGCACACCCTGGGAGACAGTGATAATGAAAGCTAAGCCTCAGGCTAATTTCCCCATAGCCATGGGGTGACTTCCCTGGTCACTAAGGCAGTGCATGCATGTTGGGGTATCCTTTACCTTTTCTATAAGTTGTACCAAAACGTCCACTTATGTTCTTTGATTTGTACCATTCCTTCAAATAAAGAAATTTGGTATCCCCCCCCCAAAAAAAATTTTTTTAGGCCGGGCGCGATGGCTCAGGTCTGTAGTCCCAGCACTTTGGGAGGCCAAGGTGGGCGGATCACCTGAGGTCAGGAGTTCAAAACCAGCCTGGCCAACATGGCGAAATCCCACCTCTACTAAAAATACAAAAATTAGCTGGGCATGGTGGTGGGCACCTGTAATCTCAGCTACTCAAGAGGCTCTCCTGCCTCAGCCCACCCGCCTCGGCCTCCCAAAGTGTTGGGATTACAGGCGTGAGCCACTGCGCCCAGCTAGAAGACAGGGTTTTTAATGGCAGGGGTACCCTTTAGGAAAGTGGAAGTTACAGACAAAATCATAAATCAATACATGGAGGTTATAATTGGTTTGGCCCAAAAAGGTGGTTACCTGGAAGCAGGGGCTTACAGGTCATAGGTAGATTCAGAGCTTTGCAATGGATAAAGTAGGGCTTTGTCTAAAAACCTGGGGTCAGCAGAAAGGCATGTTAAGATTTGGCCTGTGGGCATGATTCTCTCTAGGCCCCTCAGGAAGAAATTTAGAACAAAGAATTGTGGTTAGAGTCAGTCCTGTTTCCCCTTATCTGAGGTCCCCGTTACAGTGGTTGGCATTTTCATCTGGTATGGATCTGTGTTTCCAAAACATTCAACATGTCAAGATGTTATCTTTCATTTCTATAGGGAATCAAACATTTTTTCTTTATTCCAGGCTGCTCAATTTACTGTTTTGAGGCTAGCTAGGTACATGGAATTTCCCTTGAAGAGACTCAAGATTTTTCCTTTATTACTATGCATGGGAAGATCCAAGCAGGCCCTTAAGAGGGGTCCCTGTTCTGTCTCTACTGGATGCTTATGCACGGTATCACATCATTTAGCTTGGAACAAACCTAGGGGAGAGATAACATAGCTGTCCTTAAGCATCAGAAAAGGAGTAAGACCTCTGGTTGAATGTTAGAACTAGGACTATTTAGAGACAGATTTTCCCCTCAGGTAAAAGTTCTATCTTGAGTTCTCTTTACAAAGGCATTTCAAGCTATGCTATACAGACAAATGAATTATATTGTATGGATATTAAAAAGCTGAGAGTGTATCAAAGCTTGAACTTTATTTCAAAATGGCATTATTTTGGGTCAAAGTATGAAAAAAGGCATAGTTATGTTTTTGTTAAAGTGAAAAAAATTAGGTAAAGTTTATATAAGTAGACTGATGATTTTTGAAAATATACCATTAAGCATGTACTTCAGTGTCAAAAACCTCAAGTCGAATCTTACAATGTATTTCATATTTCAAAAGGAAAGCTAAAATTCATTCACTGTGGTTAAACTGCATTTCATAAAATTGTTGAAATAAACTTCATTGAAACATCATTATACAGATATTTTAATTGTATATATAAGGTACACAGAATAAAAGTCCTACTCTCTAGAACATGAGAAGTCAATAAATAGAAAAAGAGATATACAAATGGAATGAACATAAAAACGACTAAGCATGTGATCTTCAACCACATTCATACAGTTTTTAAACTAATCTTTTACAATTAAAAAGTCATTTATTTGAAACTGCAGAGTTGACAGATATGTGCCATATAATTATCAGTTTGGAACCTTACAAAACAACTTTAGTAGTGTTATTTATGTGTGAAGAGAAAACTGTGTAGGTAACTACCATGTTTCAGGGGACATGACTTAACAGTGAAGTTTTTATGTTACAGGGAACAAAACAAGTATTAGTATCAGGTATTTTAGAAATGCTGTCTAAACTAGAATGACATTTATTCAGTATGATATATTCTTTCCCTAACTCCATTCTAATTGTTTAAAATCTATCAAGTGAAGTTACAGAAGTTAAACCACTAAATCTGGCATCTTTCCTTTCTCACACAAAGTATCTTCTCTTAGAAATGGGGATATTTAATTAAGTATCCTTCTTGGTGACCCCAATTATAATCTAAAGAGGCCACGAGACCACAGACTACTACTGACAAAAAGTGACAGTACACTTTTCATCAATCAACAGACAGTCCAAGGGACACAAGAGAACACAAGTCTGGGTAACATGAATTTGGTAAGAAAGCAGGCTAAACCTCCTGTGTCTTAGTACTCCAAGTGAGTCATTCTATACAATTTTTGATTAATCCAAGAAAGGCCAAAAAAAAAAAAAAAAAAAAAAAAAGCATTCTGTTTAAAGGCAGAGGTACATCATCACTTTTAAAAACATGTCAAGGCAAACATACACATTTTACCTAGAATACCTCATTTGCTAATAATGCATCATTACTGTACTTATATTTAGTAAAGTGAACAGGGTAGTATTATAACCTGTTTATATTCAAGGAACATAGTAAACTAGCTGGCAAAATTTACCTATCTTAAAGAAAAAAAAACAGTCGGTTGAGATTGACAAGGTGGGATTAGCTTTCCAATGCACAGCAGGACAACTCTTGCCATAACATGAATGTTAATAAAGGAGCTCACTGCCGTGAATACTTAGGATACATAGGTACATGGCCAACTCCAGACCTAAGGGCAATATAAAGCTACTCAAAACAAAATACCCCACACATAATAAAAACCCCGTTCCCTATAAGAGCTTTATTTCTCTTATGGTATTTCAGCCTCATAGTACACTCGGCACAATGCTGCATTAGGGCGGCATACAAAAGCATCGGTTTCTCTTCCCAACTCCGTTAGCTGTTCCAATGAAGACACACAAGGATAATGATCTTTTAACATATCTGGCAATTTAGAAGTTTTCTCTTGAAGACGTCGAGAACGTCTCACTGGTGTTAAAAACTTCAGCTCTTTAAATGCGGAATTTGTTTCATCAAACTGCACCTTCTTTTTCACACTGAAAATTAAAACAATATTCCCAGAGTTCAAAAACATGTTAACATTTTTACTCTGTACTTTCATGATATGTACCATACTATATAGCTTGTATGTTATAACCACGTAAAAGCATGTAATTGTCTTTTAGAGAGGTACTATAAGCTCATTGAAGTGAGAAACTTACCCTTTTCTCAATCCGTCATTACAACCTGTACACAGTAGATACCTGAGTATCTGTAGAACTGGCTAATTCCTGAATGCCAAAACCTACTCTTATTAATAACACACAGATTCAAGTAAAATTTAAAAAAAGTTTTCTTTTTCAACATGGCAATAGTTAGTGAAAGTAAATACAGTATTTAAGAGGTGAAATGTTCTCATGACATTCTAGTTGTTTAAAAACTTTTCTGTATTCTTTTTTGTTCTGAGACAGGGTCTTGCTCTGTCATCCAGGCTGGAGTGCAGTGGCATGATCCTGGCTAACTGCAACCTCTGCCTCCTGAGATGAAGTGATCCTCCCACCTCAGCCTCCCAGATAGCTGGGCCTACAGGCACACACCACCTTGCCCAGCCAATTTTTTTGTAGAGATGGGGATTTGCCCAGGATAGTCTTGAACTCCTGGGCTCAAGTGATCTGTCTGCCTCGGCCTCCTTTCAAAGTGCTGAAATTACAGGTGTGAGATACCATGCCTGGCCTGAAAACTTTTCTATATTAACACACGGTAGCTGTAATCTGAAGCTATCTCAAAGATTTTTAAATGCCATATTTATTATCCCCAAGCATGAAAACAAATCATAGTACATTTTAAAAGTTTACCTTTGCAAGTATGGCGTACTAGACACATTATATTTAATCAAGCAACTTGTCCTCGTTTCTGTATTGGGGGTTTTAACATCATGGGTTGGATCTTTTGTTTTGTTCTCTTGCTCTTTTTCACAATCTTGAAATAGCAAATTTCTATGATGTTTACTCTCCATTTCCAGTTTTTCTGGATCTACATCAACACCTGTATCTTCAATACTGACTTCTTTGACTTCTTCCTTGGTTGCACAAGCCTTCTCCATATTTTCTCCTATAGGAGATACATTTATAGATTAAGCTTTTGGCTGAATTTTGAGAACAAAATCAGAAGACATTAAAGGTATTCCTAGTTGGCCAAATTTTCAAAATAAAAGAACACAATTGCCATCTCTGAACCATTCCTTTTCCTCAGCAAATACTGCTGCCAACTATATAACAAATAATATTATGAAATGAAAGAAATGCTATATATGAAATAAGAACAAAGGATTATTAAAACCCACAAAAAGAAACAACTAACTTTGCTTGTGCTATAGGGAGATGGTTAGGGAATGCTTGACAAGCGACATTTAGGCTGGGTCTTAAAAATGAGCACTTGACCAAGACCAAGGAAGACAACCTTCATATGGCACATAAAAGAAAACGATCTATTAACATAACATTAAAGAGCCAGTGTGTTTAGAATATAGGGTAAGGAGCAAGGTTAGGAGTGGGAGCAGGAGGTATTGAGCTTAGATAGGTAAGCAGGTAAGCAAGAGCTGGATTTTAATGAGCTTTATATGAAAGAAGGTTGGTAAAAACAATTCACCAGAGACAGATATAATTAAATTTGGTCAATGTAAAGGACTGTCTAGAATGGCAGAGAATGAAAAGTAACAATCTGTGATGGCAAGATGACAAGGTTGTTGTAATAGCCTAAGTAAGGAAGAGGTCGGACAGGAAGGAAGGGTCCAATCTGAGAAATATTTCTGAGAACATTCTTTTTTTTTTTTTTAGAGACAGGGTGTCTGCTGTTCTGTCACCCAGGATGGAGTGCAGTGGCATAATCTTAGCTCACTGCAGCCCCAAATTCCCAGGTTCACGTGATCCTCCTGCCAAAGCCTCCCAAGTAGCTGGGACTACAGGTGTGTGCCACCATACCCAGCTAATTTTTACATTTTTTGGTAGAGATGGGGTCTCACTATGTTGCCAAGGCTGGTCTCCAATTCTTGACCTCAAGCGATTCTTCCACCTTGGCCCTCTGGTGTTGGGATTATAGGCGTGAGCCACCACATCCACCCAAGTCAGAACTTATTAACAAATGAATGCATGACTGTGTAGAAATGAGTGTGCAAATGTGTTAGAAGCATCTTGTCT